TGCACGCACACACATTTATGTGTTTTTCCTGCCGAGGGCATGTACGTATACGTATTGAGTTTAGTGAAGGTATGGACCATCCGAGCTATGGATTGCAAAACGTTTCAATAGCGTGTATTCATATATTCTCTAGAGTGTCCAGTAATCATGAGCTTGTTTCAAGGTTGCACGGACTACGCTTTACCGTAACACTTCGGCATTTCTGTAGCCGTACTTAACGGATTACACGTCTGGTTTCACACCTGAAGTTAGTGCAAGTGTTGGGCCCAAAATGGACGTCGATAGGGACGGATGTGGTGTTCCTGGTCTCTGGATTGATTTTGGGTCTGGCTTCGAATTCCACCATGCTCATAGTGGGTCGAATAATTCTGGGAATTGGTGCAGGTGTGTATTTGGCTCACACAATGCGTATGTTATAGTAGACTCCAATCCGAGCTCAGTATCAACGTATGCCTGTACGCTCATAGTCACAATCGTATATACACTTAAATGCACACCCTTCATGTGATTGGTTGGACATGCACGCTCGCTTGGCGATGTGCGAGTCGTTTTATCACCCGCAACTTCAGTTGTACTCAATCTCTTCTTCAATGAATTGCATTCTTTTACATACACATGTTTATATTCTGTATGTATACACATGTTTATATTTTGTGTGTATACACATGTTTATATTCTGTATGTATACACATGTTTATATTCTGTATCTACCGATTTCAGTGTCCCCGTTCTTAACAGACATATCTGTGTCTAGTTGGCGGTATGCGAAATGCGATTGATGTAGGCATGCGTATGAAATGTGTACGGGAATTAGCCCATTGCCGCATCTGCAATAATGAACATATGTTAGCTGCATCTGCAATAATGAGCATTTGTTAGCTGCATCTCCAAGGGGTTTAGTCGCCGCAGTATCGTATAACACACACCTGAACACCCAACCCACACCAAGTGGTTGCGCACCTACCGATTGCTGTACATACATACATACAAACATACATACATACATACATGTATACATACATGTATACATACTTGTATACACACATATATACTTACATACATACATACGTCCACTCGATCCCTATGCTTCACATACATAACGTCTGACCTCCTCCTACCCCTTCCCATGTATTTACATACCGTCTGACCTCCTCCTACCCCTTCCCATACTTCACACACATACCGTCTGACCTCCATCTACCCCTTCCCATGCTTCACATTCATACCGTCTGACCACCTCCTATGCCTTCCCATGCTTCACATACATATCGTCTGACCTCCACCCTATCCCTTCCCATGCTTCACATACATAACGTCTGACCACCTCCTACCCCTTCCCATGCTTTACATACATACCGTCTGACCTCCTCCTACCCCTGCCCATGTTTCACATACATAGCGTCTGACCACCTCC